GAAGGAAAGGAAGAAAGAGAAAGAGGAAGAGGGAGAGAGAACGGGGGTGTTGCTTTATTGCCCGGGCTAGAATGCAGTCTGAAAATGGGTATGCCTATAATTGTGCTTAATAATAGAGACATGAAAAAAAAATGAGGGAAGAAAATAACAAACAAGCACCCAACCAATATTTCATTTAAACCTGTAAATAGTTGTGATGTGGTACTGATAACAGTGTATATTTTGTGTATTTAAAGTGGAGAGTTCTATAAATGTTAATTAAGTTTACTTGTTCCGGATCTGAGTTCAAATCCTGGATATTGTTGTTAATTTTCTGTCTCATTGATCTGTCTAATATTGATGTTGAAGTCTCCCACTATTATTGTGTGGGAGTCTAAGTCTCTTTATAAGTCTTATATATCTGGGTATTCCTGTATTGGATACGTATATATTTAGGATCATTAGCTCTTCTTGTTGCATTGATCCTTTTATCATTATGTAATATCCTTCTTTGCTTCTTTTGATCTTTGTTGCTTTAAAGCAACTCCTGCTTTTTATTCATTTATTTATTTTTGCTCTCCATTTGTTTGGTAAATCTTTCTCCATCCCTTTGTTTTGAGTCTTTGTGTATCCTTGCATGTGAGATGGGTGTGGATGCAGCATACCAATGGGTTTTGGCTTTTTTTGCCTGTCTGTGTCTTTGGATTGGGGGATTTAGTCGATTTAAATTTAGAATTAATAACAATATATGTGTGTTTGATACTGTCATTTAAAGTTAGCTGGCTGTTTTGCCTATTAGTTGATGTAAATTCTTGATTATGTTGATGCTCTTTACTTTTTGGTATTTTTTAGAAAGGCTGATACTGGTTGTTCTTTTCTATGTGTAGTGGTTCTTTCAGAAGCTCTTGTAAAGCAGGCCTGGTGGTGATGAAATCTCTGAGTGCTTGCTTGTTCACAAAAGATTTTATTTTTCCTTTGGTTATGAAGCTTAGTTAGGCTGGATGTAAAATTCTGGGTTGAAAGTTCTTTTCTTTAAGGTTGTTGAATATTGGCCACCACTCTCTTCTAGCTTTTAGGATTTCTGCTGAGAGATCTGCTGTGAGTCTGATAGGCTTCCCTTTATGGGTAACCTGACCTTTCTCTCTGGCTGCCCTCAGTATTTTTTTCCTTTAGTTCAACCCTGGTGAATCTGGCGATTATGTGCCTTGAGGTTGGTCTTCTTGAGGAATGCCTTTGTGGTGTTCTCTGTATTACCTGGAGTTGAATATTGTCCTGCCTTGCTAGGTTGGGAATGCTTTCCTGAATAATATCCTGAAGCGTATTTTCCAGCTTGGATTGATTCTCTTTGTCACATTCAGGTACACCTATCAAACGTAGATTAGGTCTTTTCACATAGTCCCATATTTCTTGGTGACGTTGCTCGTTCCTTTTTATCCTTTTTTCTCTAATCTTGTCTTCTCATTTTATTTCATTAAGTTGGTCTTCGACTTCTGATATCTTTTCTTCTGCTTGATCAATTCGGCTGTTAAAACTTGTGCATAGTCGCAAAGCTCACGTGTTGTGTTTTTCAGCTCCATTAATTCACTTATATTCCTCTCTAAATTGTGTATTCTTGTTAACATTTCATCAAACCTTTTTTCTTTTTTTTTTTTTTTGAGACGGAGTTTCGCTCTTGTTACCCAGGCTGGAGTGCAATGGCGTGATCTCGGCTCACCGCAACCTCCGCCTCCCGGGTTCAGGCAATTCTCCTGCCTCAGCCTCCTGAGTAGCTGGGATTACAGGCACGCACCACCATGCCCAGCTAATTTTTTGTATTTTTTTATTAGAGACGGGGTTTCACCATGTTAACCAGGATGGTCTCGATCTCCTGACCTCGTGATCCACCCGCCTCGGCCTCCCAAAGTGCTGGGATTACAGGCTTGAGCCACCGCGCCCGGCCTCAAACCTTTTTTCAAAGTTCTTAGTTTCTTTGCATTGGGTTAGAACAAGTTCTTTTAATTCACGGAAGTTTCTTATCCACCTTTTGAAGCCTGCTTCTGTTAATGAAACACTAACTCGTTCTCCATCAGGCCTTGTTCCGTTGCTGATGAGGAACTGTGATCCCCTGTAGAGGGAGAGGCATTCTGATTTTGGGTATTCTCAGCCTTTTTAGGCTGTTTTCTTCACTTCATTATAAATTTATCCATCTGTGGTCTTTATAATTGAGTTTCTGAGTGGACATCCAACTTGTTGATTCCAAGGGCTAAAATCTGAGCAACCCACTGCGCCGGCCAAAACAGTGGCGTTACGATTGATGGTGCTTTTCTGACTCTGCACCAAGAACCACCGCACCAAGGCAGTGGCAAAACCGCCTCGCCGGCCACAAGAGTCGCGCTGGCAACCCGTGGGGCTCCTCCGCTGGGAATCTCCTGGTGCATGAGCAACAAAAATTCGTCTGAAAGTGTGGTGTCCTCTCGTTCTCTGCCCTTTCACTGGGAACTACAATCCCGAGCTGCTAGTGATCAACCATCTTGGATCTCTCTCCTCGGCTTCTGATTGGGGCTTTTAAGTAATTAACATTTAAAGTCTTGAAGGAAGGAGTGTTTCTACAATGTGCAGAGGGTACAGGAGGGCAGGTTGAGCTCCCAGAGTTAAATCCTTCAGTGTCTCTCCCTCATCACCAGGTGAAGATCCACTCTGGGGCTCCATTTCAGGAGTCAGAATCTGGCTCCCAAGCGTGGGAATCTGTTTAACTTCCTAAAAGGGGGTTTCCTACTGAAGCGTGGCTAAAACAGGTTACTTTCCTAACTAGATGATATTTTTTCTTTTCTTCTCTTCGATTATTTTAATCAACTACATGCTGCCAGGCCAGGCGCAGTGGCTCACACTTGTAGTCCCCCTGGAGGCGGAGGTGAGAGAATAACCTGAGGTCAGGAGTTTGAGACCAGCCTGGCCAACATGGTGAAACCCCATCTCTACTAAAAATACAAAAATTAGTCAGGCATGGTGGTGTGCTTCTGTAGTCCCAGCTACTTGGGAGGCTGAGGCAGGAGAATTGCTTGAACCTGGGAGGTGCACGTTGCAGTAAGCTGAGATTGCACCACTACAATTCAACCTGGATGACAGAGTGAGACTCAGTCTCAAAACAAAGCCAAAAACCAAAAAGCCAAAAAACATGCTGCCCTATAATTCCAGGTTTGTTTTTTTTTTTGAGAAGGAGTTTTGCTCATGTTGCCCAGCTGAAGTACAGTGGCATACTCTTAGCTCACTGCAACCTGCACCTCCCGAGTTCAAGCGATTCTCCTGCCTCAGCCTCCCAAGTAGCTGGGATTACAGGGGCCTGCCACCACATCTGGCTAATTTTTTTGTATTTTTAGTAGAGATGGGGTTTCACCATGTTGGCCAGGCTGGTCTCGAACTCCAGACCTCAGGTATTCCACCCGCCTCGGCCTCCCAAAATGCTGGGATTACAAGCATGAGCCACTGCACCTAGCCTATAATTCCAGTTTTTTCACACATTTAACAATTTTTTTTTTTTTTTGTCGATGTGCTTTTATCTTCTGGGATGAAAATGAGTAGATTTAAAAATAAGGTGTTGAAACCATCTGCAAAAATTATATCAGTGAGAAAATTATGACAGTGAAAGAGATCTGAGCTAACACATCCCCTCCACCCCGCCCCCCAGCGTATCTTTCCCTTAATCCTGGGCTTTTAGGCCCAGTTAACTTTGGAAGATAGGTTGAATGATTATAAGCCTTTCCCAAAACTCAACTGCCTTTGAAAAACTAATGAATGGCCATCAGGCTGAGGGATGAGAGGAATCGGAAGTCTGCTAAAGCGTTGACATAGATTGCTAGCCGTTTCTGCAGGAAACACCACTATCGTAGACTGGCCTTTTGAGATACATTTTCAGGTTCTTTTGCACATCTGACACCACCTGCACCCGCCAACTCTGCTCCTGTGGCCCCACTCAGAAGTGATTCAGCATAGTAGGGCAGCTTTTTTTTTCTTCTTCTTTTTCTTCTTTTTTAATTTTTTAAATATAATATAAAGACAGGGTTTCATTCTATGCCTAGGCTGGTCTTGAACTACTGGCCTCAAGAGATCCTCCTGCCTCGGCCTCCCGAAGTACTGGGATTACAGGGGTGAGCCACCGCGCCTCGCAAAGAGGACAGATTCCACCCCCTATGATTTCATTCCCACCCCAACCAGTCAGTAGCAAGCCTGGCCACCCCCACCCTTTCCTCCAAACTGCTTTTGAAAAACCTCTACCTACGGAGCTTGGATGAGAATGATTTGAGTAGTAACTCGGTCTCCCACATATCGTAGCAGGCCTAGTGTTTTACTAAACTCTTTTTATTTTTTTTTTCAAACTGCAATGCCGTGGTTTTTATTTGTGTAGCGCGCAAGAAGAACCCGTCCAGCGCTTATAGTGGGAGAAAGGCTTGGTCTTGCAGGCGACAGCCTCATCCCAAATTCCTGATCCCCGGAGGACATCAGCCCCCCTCCCCCCACCCTTCCCCAGCTGCATTGTGGCCTCGGCTGCCCTCCTGCTTTGAGGCCAGGGGATGGCTCCAATGGACAGTGAGTCTAGGATTCCTTGCACACAATTGTGACTACACGTAGAAAATTCCGCTTTAAGGCAAACGTTCCCCGGGACTGGTCGGGTCACTGCTCAGGGAGGAAGCCCGTCCTCCCAGGGGCGGGGTCTGGAACCTGTTCATCCGGCTGCACTCAGCCCTGTGAGATCGCTTATTCTGTCACTCAGTGCCCAGGAGGCGGGACCTGGAGTTTTATCCAATCAGAGTCGCGGGCGGGTTCCTGAGACCTGTCAATCAGACGCGCTGTTGGGTGAAGGGTGTGACGTTTTAGCAGCTAGTGGCCTCTTCACCCTGGTGACCTCTGTTCCGGCTTCTGTCGCTGAGAGACGCCCTGGGGGATCTGTGGAGGCTTCTGTTGCCCTGGGACCTACCCTGGCACCGGGCGGAGTTGGGAGGACCGGGACACCGCAAAGCCGGGAAATGGTGAGTGTGCGGGGCCCGGCGTCCTGAGGCAGGGCGAAGGGCTGGTCGGAACCAGTCGGAACCGGCTGTGGCGGGACCCGGGCCTCCCCGCACTGTCTTTGGGGTCTGGAACCCGAGTTCCCCTGCGCACCTTGGTCCTCGGACCGTTTGGCCACAGGGTGGGGCTGGACCGGCAGCCGGGACACCGGGCGTCCTGTCCGGTCCTTGAGCGGTGACTGCGGCCTGGGCCCCGACCCGCTCTCCGGGCAGCTCCCCGCCAGCAGCCCCTCGTCTACCCAGACTGCGCGGCGGGACCGGCGCAGGTTCGCTGCCCGAGTCACTGCACCCAGACGCCTAGGGCTGCAGCAGAAACAGTTTAATAGGAGAGGACACCCTAGATCCGCCTCCCTGAGAGGTTTGGAGGTTGGGTGTTAGGGGTCTGGATGGGGGTGGCTGGGGCGTGGGGTCGCTGGTTGGTAGAGAAGTGAGGGGCGAATCCTGGGATCGGAGGTGAAGAACTGCATTCTCCTGCTGAGTGGGCTTCCTCGCCGGGTCTTCAGCCTGCTTGGCACCAGCCTTTCCGCTGGAATTCAGGATTTGAGAAAGAACTCTGGCGACTCTTGAGCAGCTCTCAGAGATCTTATCCCCAGGCACAGTGGGGAAGCCGGCGTCTGCTGTGACCTGACTCTCAGGGAGGCGGCCCCGTGAGGCGGCGGGGCTGAGGGCACCTGGTTAATATCAACTGCAATCTCACCTCCAGCCTGGCTCGCAGTTCCTGTGAACCCGGTGAGGAGGCTGCACGGTGACGACTGGAGGGTCACCAAGCGGAATCCAGACTTGTGTGTGGGGTTTGTGTGTGGGAGGAGCTGTGGCCCCTGTGGTCCTCAGTCCCTTCTTTTTTTCCAAGGGTGATCATTAGTCTTACAAAGATTTGGGCATCAGGGTCTGAAATCTACCACCTTTTCTCTTCATCTTAACTCCTCTTAGGGCTGACAGTAAATCTTTTGGTTTCCAGATCCTTCCATATGCTTACTTAACTCCTCAGTTCACAGCAACATTATGAACCCTTTGTCCCCAAGATGATATTTCAAATAGACACAGTATTTTGTCATTTGTTTTCAGATAGTAACGAATGACTCTTTTTAAAATGATTTATTTTGTTTTCCTTAACATTTCACATGTGAAGAAAAAGAGAATAACCACCTGGCACTCTGCTAAAAAAAAAAAAAAAAAAAAAACCAAACCTTTGTGCTTTTATCTCCCCTAGGCACAGATGCCTTATCAGAATGTCCTTTACAGGGTGATGTGACCTCAGCCCACTCTGTATCTTTTCCAGGCCCTGTGTTACAGAATTTTCTGGGGCTACCCTAAGATGCTGGCAGCTGCCAGTCTCATGGAGGACCTAGTGAATATCAGCCCTTAGGTTACTTATCGAAGAGGACAGCCTAAGGTGTTGGGGTGGGGCCTCTCAAAGGACCAGGTGGATGCCCTGGGGTGGGAGGAATCTTCTGGTGTATCATTCTTGTAAAAAGCTAACCCCTGGGACATTGACCTTTTCTTCCCCAAGGCTGGTTTCCATCCCTGGGTGAAACATGGCTTATCAGCAAATTAGATAGTGTTATTCAGGGGACAAGACAAATGATTTCTGCTTCCTGGACTCTCTCCGACTATGAAGCTAGAAAACTATATCTAAAAACTGGAAAACCCAGCTGAGCGAGATGGCTCACACCTGTAGTCCTAGCACTTTGGGAGGACAAGGCGGGTGGATCACAAGGTCAGGAGATGGAGACCATCCTGGCTAACACTGTGAAACCCCGGCTCTACTAAAAATACAAAAAATTAGCCAGTTGTGGTGGCGGACGCCTGTAATCCCAGCTACTCGGGAGGCTGAGGCAAGAGAATTGCATGAGCCTGGGGAGGTGGAGGTTGCTGTGAGCCGAGATCGTGCTGTTGTGCTCCAGCCTGGGCAACAAGAGTGAAGCTCTGTTTCAAAAAAAAAAAATGATGGGAGCCAGAATTGATGTCAGCGAAGGATGTTTCTTTGTACTGGGCTACTTGTCCAGAACAGAAAGATGGTGGGGTCAGGCAATTTGAGGTGATTTCTTAAATCTTTTTTTTTTTTTTTTTTTTTTGAGACGGAGTCACGTAGTCTCGCTGTGTCGCCCAGGCTGGAGTACAATGGCGTGATCTTGGCCCACTGCAACCTCTGCCTCCCAGGTTTAAGCAATTCTCCTGCTTTAGCCTTCTGAGTAGCTGGGATTACAGGTGCATGCAAGCATGCTTGGCTAATTTTTGTATTTTTAGTAGATACGGGGTTTCATCATGTTGGCCAGGCTGGTCTTGAACTTCTGATCTTGAGATCTGCCTACCTCAGCGTCCCAAAGTTCTGGGATATAATGGGTAAGCCACTGTGCCCAGCCTCTTAAAACATGCTTATTACAGAGCTGTGTAAAATTGAACATTATCAGCTGGTTGGTTTTGTATTCAGTGAGTTGAGTAGAAATTGCACAAATTAAAATGTCTTTGAGGGCTGACATACATCTCTTCCATTTAGTTATTCTCGACATATCCTTTATAACAAACTGATAACCTTAAGCAACTTGTTTAACTGAATTCTTCAACTCATAGCAAATTGTTAAATCTCACAATAGAGTTCTTGGTT